CAGTGAGCGCACGTCGGCGTTGCACTCTAAAAATTTTTGAAAATGAATATGTTGAAGCAGAAAAAAACCATTTATACCAAGCGCAACTTAGAAAAAAATGTACTTTAATCACATAAGTCCGTGGCTAAGAGAATACGAATTTGAATTCAGTGGCTAAATTGGGATCCACTTGAATCAGGTCCAATTCAGCCTTCCATCATACATATCGATTCACTGCCTTGCTTCTCAGTACAAACAGACTCTACATTTCCAAGAAATCACAGTTTAAATGCGTACAATGTCAATGCTGCTAAAAGACAAAACGCGGTAGTAGCATGGAAAAAATTCTGGAAAATTCTCAGAAGGACAATTTTCATGAGCATGGAGCTTTTACCATTTTCGGGCAAAAATAGTTAAAGAACAACCGTTACACTTCTCACATTACTGACATTTCTTATATTTTTGATAATATGTGACTAACGTCAAAAGAAGCCGTCAGGAGAGGAGAGGCAAGAGACAACTGCCACCGCCAGTGATGGCGCAGCATTACATGGCATGAACTATTCCAGTGAAATTGCTTTATCCTGAAAAGCACAAGAGATCACCTGGCTAACTGGCGCAGACGGCGTGTACGGGGGTGGAGGTGTGCTGTACTGCGCTGCCCGGGTAACATGCAGCGGTTCACTACGTCGCCTCAGTACGTGAGCTGTTGTGCTGCACAACGGATTTCTTCCCGATACTGTAAGTCCACTGCCCAATGACCTGAACAATGCATTTAGAGAATAAGCAATTACAGGTGTTCTGAACTAGTCACACAGGCAGAAACTACCTTTTCGTAAAATTTCAGCCTATCACACGGTATAAAATGTATAAAATTCGAACGTTTTTGTCCTCATATCCACAGTTAATGAATTTTGGATCAGTCAAAAGGGTAGCCTCTGACAAAAAACACAGCTAGTCCGGGATTATTATGATATAAAAAAATTTAATACGTAAAACATTCTGAACCGTCGACCATTCTGCATTCTGCTTCCTCCTATTTTGCTTGAAGCA